ATGTCCTGACAGTAAATCACGTGTCCCCTCCTCAGTCCTCCCTTCATCCATCCATCATCCTCTCCTCCCTCCTCAGATCCACTCGATCGCCCTCCATCTCTCTGACCGACTCCATCCACCCTCACCTCTCTCTCTCCCGCTCCTCCTTTCATCCCTCCTTCCTCTCTGTGTCTATAAATCAGATTTTCCCCACCTCCATCCATCTTTCCCTTTATTCGTCCAGTTAACTATCACCCTCTCTTATCTCCCTCTCCTCCACCTCCCTCCTCTCGTCATCCCTCTCTCCTCCCTGCAGGAGACAGTGAGCTCCGTCCATCATTTCTCAGCCAGCAGAGTGACGTCGTTTCCTGCAGAGACGTTAAAGGAGTCGTCATCAGCTCCGTCCACTCACCTGGTTTCCCGCCAGCAGCACAGTTCCTGGGGTCGGGCTGGGTCGGTATGGAATAGTCGCTCCCTTCGGTGGTGACTAGAGGGATGGAGGGAGAGGAAGAGAAACATGGGACATGAGGAGGAATCTGGGTCAATGTCCAACAAGTGTCTCATCATCAGAAATCTAAAGGACAAACACAAGTGATCACAAACATAAAGTGATGTAGAGTTTAATGTTCACTGAGGACATCCGTGTCCTCCATCGCTGGTTCACACATCAGTAATAAAATCTCAACACAACTAACGGACTGTGTGTGTGTGTGTGTGTGTGTGTGTGTGTGTGTGTGTGTGTGTGTGTGTGGACACGACTCACAGAGAAAATAAATCGAATCTTTGTGCGAGTTTCTATCGTCACTGAAGTTTGTTTAAACTATGTTAAATTCTACGAGCTCCCGCTGCTCCTCACAGAAAAATACATTTTTCATTCATCTATTTTGATCTGAGTTCAGGGTGTTTCCTGTCCCAGCATGCACTGGGTGTGCGGCCCGGAGACAACAGTGCATCAAGGGTCTAAGCAGATCAAAAGATTTCTCTAAAGATCAAACGTGAACGGAGTAAACGCTCTGATTGCTCCGCAGCTTGAAAGTGAAGGAGTTTGACTGAGGTCAGCGTTTTTCTTTCTGACGGAGGTGAGAGGAATTACAATGAACTGCCGAGTCTTTGATTTCACCGTTTGCTCCTCTGATCTCTGACGCTCCACTTAATGACGGCTGCCCATTCACTTTAATAACATCACCGATGTTGAGATTATTTTCGATAGAATATGAATATTTAAAAAACTCACCTCCGCTCTCCTGTTCAGATTTAAATCATTAAAAATTCCATCAGGGAGAAATAACGACGTGTTATCGTCACGTTGGCGTCTTTAGATTCTAAACAGTGAAATGATCAAATAAAACCCTCTGGAGGATGATGTCACACTCGTCGGATCTGGTTTCACACCAACAAACACAACACGAGTGTAAACACGTACAAAGTGACGCACCTCCAAGATGACGGTGCAGATGAGCTTCACACACTGGATGATGGCGTCCTGACTCCCTGATATCGTCACCTCTCTCTCTGTGGAGTTAGGGAGGAGGTCACCTGCTACCTGCACCTGAGCTCCTGTCGTCTGTTCTCACACACACACACACACACACACACACACACACACACACACACAGGTTGAATTAAAGTGAAGTTTCCTCACATGTTCCTCACATGTTCCTCACATGTTCTGCAGCTTCTGTGAGAACACATGTCTGAGTCAGTGTCTCTGGACGTGTTCTGGATCTTCTCCTGCAGCCTCTAAAACATCTGGAACCTTCTCAGTGAGCGAGTGGGCGTGTCTCTGAGGTTTCTAACACGTGACGGACGTGAAACTGAAGAACACAAATGTCTCAGGATGAAGAAGAGGAGCCGTACACGTAGAGGACGAAGACGTCCACTTGGAAAGACGAGGAGGTTCCAGATGTTTTGGTGATAACTCCAGAAGATGTCTGGAGTTGTGAAATCTTCTTTCACGTCTAAACATAACGTCCTCGTGGCTTTGGAGGGAAACTTGTTGGCGACGTTCATGACGCTGCAGCAGCTTTAGTTATGAGGATTCAACCCCCCCTCCCCCCCAGGCTGGGAGTTATTCCCCTCACCCCCTCACCTCTCGGATCTCCTTGATCTTAGAGCCTCCCTTCCCGATGAGCGAGCCACACTGACTGGCCGGGATCACCAGCCTCAAGGTGACGGGAGGTTTACTGGTCACTGTGCCGTTAGCCACCAAGGCCGACAGGTCCTGAGAGAGAGAGAGAGAGAGAGAGAGAGAGAGAGAGAGAGAGAGGAGTCATCCCTCCATCGACCTGAAGACACACAGTAAACTGTGGAGCAGCTGCTGAGTTGTTTGGTTCAATCTGAAACATCTGGAGCTCCGTCTGCAGGAAACCATTCACACCTCCGAGAAACATCTGCTGAAACCTGAAGAAGAAGGAGGGAAGTCTCCTCCTCTTCCTCTGTGACGTCACAGCAGAGAAACTGAACAGGAAGCTCTGCTCTCGTCCGTCATTCCTTTAATTCTGATCAAATATTAATAATGAGATTATTATTCTTTAATTCTGATCAAATATTAATAATGAGATTATTATTCTTTAATTCTGATGCAGATCACAGATTTAATTTGGTCTCTGACCTCGACTCTGTTTCTATATCTGATGTTTCCACCTCTCCCTCTCTCTGTTCGTCCTGCTCCTTCTTCCCTCTCTCCTCCCTCTCTCTCTCTCTGTTCGTCCTGCTCCTTCTTCCCTCCCTCTCTCCCTCCCTCTCTCTGTTCGTCCTGCTCCTTCTTCCCTCTCTCCTCCCTCCCTCTCTCCCTCTCTCTGTTCGTCCTGCTCCTTCTTCCCTCTCTCTCTCTGTTCGTCCTGCTCCTTCCCTCCCTCTCTCCCTCCCTCTCTCTCTCTCTCCCTCTCCTTCTTCCCTCCCTCTCTCTCTCCCTCTCTCT